TAGAATTCCTGCCTTATGAATGAGATAATTGTTTTAACTTTCATGACTAACAAACCCAGCCTCTGCCTTAAAATTCTGAAGGCAAGGAACCCTTATTTCAGGGTTAATGGAAAATACACACAGAAATAAGTTCCCCTCACACATGAGGAGGGCAGCAGATTTCCACATGGGCCTTCTGGGGATACTTGGTGCAGTGCTGCATATATGCACCCCACCACGAAACCAGTGCTTTTGTTACAGCTGGACTTCTCATTCTGACAAGGAAGTACATTTTCACATTTTCAGCAAGGTGCACACCCAAATGCTAACAGCTATGATGACCTGGGGCTTTACAGCTCGAAAACAGCCCTCAGGCACAAACCGTACTTTTGGGGTACTGAATCACTTAACCTAAGAGCTCACTAGTAGTGCAGTGAAATGCATGCGCCATCTGTCTACACCACATCCACACATAAAGAGCTTATGAAGAGAAGTGAGCTTTATCATTATCTATAGATGCTCTATTAATATTGTCTTGTAACAATTGTGTTTATTTTATGGACCATACCAGAATCTCCATGAAGATGAACTAAAGCTTCAGCACAAAATGAGGTTCTAGGTGGATGTTCCAAAATGCTTGAAATTCCAGGTTTAGGCATGGAGCTCAGAAAACTGAAAAAGTGACTAAATTGAGGTTTGTAAGTACTGACACAGGTAAAAGGCTCTCTGATGCAACACACAAAAGCAGGATAAAATCCACTGCAAAATATGCCTGGGGCAGTCTCATTTGTGGTGAAATACTTCACATTTCCTACAAAGGTGGCAAAAATGAAGGTACTGAAAGAGATGTAATGAGAAGACTCTTCTAATAAACACCACCAGCTTCAGACTAACAATTCCTCAATGGAAAGGAATGCTACAATTTAAGGCTTTTTTCTAAATAGTAATCTAAGAAATAGCTAAATCCTAACTTATTCCAAACTTGAGGGTGACTGGGTTTGTACTAGAGTTGTTCTGAATCTGTGGAGCCTGTGAACAAGTTTAAGAAACAGCACAATAATCGGAGAGGACAGCTCACATATGGGGAAGAAATGACAAGGAATCTGCAGAGAAAAGTTGTTCCATGAGCACTGGAGCCAACTACATCTGGTTTCCGCTGGACTTATATCTTCTTGTTGGTTGACTTTTAACTGAATATATGCGAGCTCACCCTAATTAAACATCCAGTAGGTGTTGGAAAAAAATCTTCTATAGCTCCTTGCTTGAAAACAGATAATTCACATACAAAAAAAGAAGCCTTAGTGGAGGAGGAGACTCTCCCAATGACTGAAACAGCAAAAACACCAAACGAGGCTTCCTTTTTTTTTCTAAGCAGTTAGGTATTCATAAAGTGCTATCCCATGTAGATTTTTCACTTTAGTAACAATTTAAGTGATACTTATTTTGTCACTCCCTCCAGTGAAAATAGGGTATTTGCTTTCCAGGAGAGCTTTTTTGTTACTTATTAAGAATTTAATATGATGAAGAACTTTATTCACAAACATGTCCGGTTCAAAAAGGAAAGACTAGTAAAGATGCTTACATAAACCTTATTTCCTTAGGAAATCAGGATTCAAATAATTCAGATATGGAGAGAGATGAAAATTACCCGAGGGAATGGGTACATTTGGAATTCACAGTGGTTTCCCTGTTGATTAGTGAATCTTATTTCAACAGTCCTCACAGTGGAAGCGCCAGTGTCCTGGGAAAACCCAAATATTATTTCTGTGATTACCACACCACCATCTACTCCTTAAGGAGCCTGTAATCCCAGCGAACAATGGAAGGAGGAAATAAACCAGGCAATTCTGACAGTATTGCAGTTATGATATAGATTTCTCTGCATGTTCAGGACATGTAGCTTAATCTCTGAGCTCAGATTTCCAGATCTCCATGCTAATGCTTTAAGCACAGAACCGCTTTTTTTTTCCCTCCTGGACATGCTCAGAGATACTTGAACTCTTCCATGTGAGTAATCTCAGCAGGGAAAGGTGATACATCTGTGCAGTGGAACATGGTATCTGGCAGACTGCCAGCAAGCTCAGCACTGGGGATTCTGGATGTCATTTATAAAAAGGAATTTAGGCTGCTTGACAGAGTTCCAGATTTTTCTTACTGTGGACTGCAACAAGAGAGAGATTAAGCAAAGACACTGCTATGTAGAAATCAGGAATAGTGGGTAAAAGATAAAAACAGTCACCCTTTGAATGCTCAAAACAGTGCACAGTCCATTACACTGATAATGACATTGAAAAAGCATTGGTAAGAAAATTTTGCTATATGCACATTTTAATTTAAGGAACTATTAATAGAATAAACTTAAGGTTTTATTATGGGAATTTTCAGAAAGTATCAATGTGCTTCTTTTTTGTTTGATTGGTTGGTTTTTAATATGCATGACAACACCTGTGATCTATTTTAGAGAATGACTAAACTTTGTGATCAAATGAGTGTGCCTTCTAAATGTTGCCATTCTCTTCAAGTAAAAGCTTTGAGTGTAGATTCCAGGCCACATAGCATTTCCACTAAACTTGGGTTCTTTCTTTTCCCCTGGCTCACAAGTGGTTTTATTTATTTTAAAATGAGTACAAGTGATGAATCTACTATGAAACTATAAAGTCTACTAGAAAGATTTCCATTGCTTTCAAAGGGATCCCAATCAGGTCCTGTTTGACTACATGGCAAAATGTACTTTGCTATTTACACAAAAGAATATAAAGTTACTAACCAGTAGAAAAGAATGGAAAAATCAGTTTCCTCTCCTGCCTTTTATACACTCAGAGTTGGGTAAAAGGGAGAGGAATAAGGAAGGTGTTATTTCATTCTGAATGGAAAAAAGCAGAATTAACTCAGGGTGCCTTCACTAGCTCTTCTGCGAAAGGAGTGAAAATTACATAGCCCTAGGAGCTTTCCAAGGCACAAGGCCTAAAGTTCATTAGCCAGCCCCATAAGCTGGAACTAACAATCAGTTAGCTGGGACTCTAAATTTAATGTTAATTACTTATTTTGTTGCTTTTGTATTTTATCACTTAAATGGCATATGCTTAACCTGTTTTAAAGTAAACGTCTCCTAAAAATTTTATCTTGTGGCTTAAATGGCTTCTAAAGGATCTATCCCAGCACACCACATCCCAAATCCGCCAGGCAGCTGGAGGGGGAGTAAAATCCACCCTTCCAATCCTCTGCATCCTGATAGATACAAGGTATAAGGAAAAGGCAAAACTCAGTATCTCTGTTCAAAGCTTCACCGACAGTTTTAGCGATTACAAACAGTACCGAACATTAGCTTGGAACTGCTTGATGGGTGATGATGGGGAAACTTCCCAATAATTACAAACACAATCCAAATGGCATGAAAACGTGAGTTCAGTGCCCTCATCTTTACCCATGGTAGTATAACCTGCTTCCCAGGGTATCAAGCAAGTGCAAAAGCAGTCCTCTTTTCCAGTACTGCTGTTGTGACTACAAGCAAGACAGTAAATATTAAAAGAGAGTACCAATTAGATAGACCACATGCAGGAATTTAAAAATGATAGCTTTCATGGCATAAGGAACAAGGAATATTCAAGAAAGTCACACTTCCTCCTAGCCCTGTTTCATGGTACTTTCACTTCTTCTCCCATGAGAAATGGCTTCACTATTTACTACAGTTTTACACAGAAAGAGCCAAATGAAAATAAAAATATATATATATGAAGGATAATAGATATTCAAATGCTATCTTCTGGCCCTTTAATCTATTCCTTTGTAATGGGGGAGACTGAAATCAGACAGTTGGCCCTACTAGGACCATCAGTGGAGACTGCAGAGCAGAAATGAAAAAAATCTTTAACTGCTTTTTTCCATTTCTGAAGCTGCATTGGCCATCTTCCATCACATTAGTAACAGTAAAAAGTGATGTCATGTTGCACTTCCTCCACCCTTCTATTCCCAGTCTTCAGTGAGGATGCTCTGATAAAGGGAATTCACAAATTGGTTTTAGAAACATGCCATCCCAATTTTCTATTTTTATCTCATTTGTGTCTGGAAAAGGAGGAAGATTCAGATACCCTTTATATCTAGAGATGCCTTCCATGCAGTGTGTCAAAAATCTCTAGGGTCCCAATCCTCCTTGACACATATAACTTCCATAGGTACAGAAGGAAGCTGATGCACATTTTCTGTCTGTTCTACACAATCCTTGCAACAGCTGCTGTTTTTCAGTGGAAACAAAAAGCTATTAGGTGTCTCTAAGTAAAATAGACAGGGAAATCCCACAGCCAATCTTTAACAAGACACATTAGACAGTTAACCACGCACTCTGAAAGCTATATAAGTAAATATATGCAGAACAACAGGCTGAGCATTTGATCCTCACTCTGTGCATCTGTTTTTACACATTTTAGGGAAAACTTCAGAAAAAAAACCCAAAATCAAAACCAAAACCAAACCCAACTATGTGAGTCAGTCTTGAATCCTTTCTACCTTCCTAGGGCAGTACCCTGATTTGGAATCTGTTGTTACTCAGCTTTCGAGGATCCTAAAGAAATTACAATATTATAGTGCCACTGCACAATATGGAGTCAACATTGTGGCACCTTGTCCAGGCACGAGCATAACTAGCGGCAAGTCATTCGTAAACTTGGTGAACTCAGTTAAATGCTCTAACACAAGCTCTTTTTTGCAGTCACACTTAGGACATGTTATTTTTAGTAGTGTTGTATTCTGAGACAGTTTTACATGAAGACATAAGTATTTTGTCCCCATCTGAAACAGCTGGATGCACTTGTAAAATAAGGTCTTCCTACTCCTGATTCAGAACAAGTGCCACCTACTGACAGCAAGAACTGGCTTTATTTGCTTTGTTTTTTCAAGAATTCTATGCTGCTGCTGTTTCAGGCAGATTTGCTTCAAGTCCAGATGGTGAAAATAGACCTCAAAAAAAGAAGCTGCACTTTAAAAAAATCTGAACTGGTACATGCCAGATTCTCATTAAAACCCACCTGCCTATGATGTTACTGACTGATGAAGAATTCCCTAGCACCACCAATCAACAGTCACTTTCACAACCTTTTCTGCAAAAACATGAGCAAATTAGACAAAAATATTCACCCTTTATGAACAGTCAAGTATGAAATTCAAAAGGTGAATTAGAAACAAGAAATCAAACAGAAGAGACAAAAATCAGTGGAAATAAGTCTAAACCTGGATGAAGAAAACAAACATATGTACATATATGAAACTGAGTATTGCAGGATGAATAAAATATCACTGCATTGTAAAAAGTCAGTTGCATGGCTTCATCAAAAAGTCTTCTGGAAAAGATTTACTATAAATTGCACCTCTTCTCTATATACAAGCTTCAGAAATGAAGTATAGGATTTCAAGAGACATTTTCTCCTTTTTTCTTTTTTGTCAGGTCTGGAGTCATTAAACAGAGATTAGCTGGATAAATAGAGGAAGTGATTTTTAAACTGTTTGCAAACTTAATGTGAAGAGCCCAGCCTTGCAAATTATCACGTCTAATCAGAGATGCACGCTTCACTGCTCCAGTAATTGTACTAGTATTAGTCAAATTCTTGTTGTCTCCTCATTAACCATGAAAAGGAGACTCAAGATGTACTTCATTAGAGTATCCTGAATATAAATTGTTAATGTAAGGGGGGAGAGATGTGTTACGTACTGCATATAGAAAGGAAAATATTAAGAACATAAACCATATTGAATCACTCTGGTGGTACACTGAATATACGACTTTCACAACCAAGCCTCTCCTCTCTGTTCAGTTTTACTGTCTCCATTCCCTCTTTTATTTGCAGTGAGACCATAGTACTTGAAAACATACTTTATAACCAATGCCATTAAACAACAAAGAAAGAAATGTGGTGTTTTTTGCAGCCGTTCCTATTTCCAGCCAGAATGCTATGGCTTAATCAGGAGCTGTGTCTTTAGTAGAGACACTGGGTAAATTGTTGCCTACTAGGTAACAAGTAAAGGTGATCTAACTCACATTAAATGTTGATCAAATCAAAAAGTTTGTTCCTTTGATCATCAAAGGAATTAAATACACACTCCTGCCCTTCTTTATTCGGCAATGCTCTTAAGTTCATGCCTCTAAATCAAGAGAATTTAAATACATGCCTAACATATGAAGCATGTCCCAAGGGAATTGGGGTTTGAAAAAAACAGCTTGAGTTGTATTTCCTAGTTCAACTGGGTCTATTACAAGGGTAAAAGTAAAAACATTTCCAAGAATTTCAATAGAAGCAGAGGCAAAGCAAATTTTCATGCTTACTTTTTTCAGAACTTTTTTTTTTTTGGTGTGAATCTGAGTCTGAAATATTTGTATTACTCAACAACAGTTAAGGAATGCTGCAAATGAACTAGGTAAGACACCAAAATGCTACCAAAGAATGCTGTCTGCTCTCTATCACAGAATAAAAAGAACCAAACAGGAAATACCATGCAAAACTGTGCCCTTTCATCCTTGAACTACACCTCCAAATCATCATGAAATCAGATGTGTGAAAATGAAAATCTAAGCCAAGTCTGATCTAGTACTCCTTTGTGTGGAAGTCTTGGCATAAAGGCATTGAGAAATTCAATAGGGCAGTTAAGTCCATAATGTATTGTCCAGGAACTCAATTTACAGCAAGTAAATGAACTGTATTTCTAGGCCTGAGGTTTGCTCCCCATCCAGTTGCATCCTCTCAGAACACAGCAATACACTCACTCAACTTCAACCCTATACCTCAGTACAAGACGAGAATCTTCAGTTTATTATTATTTACTGTAATTTTACCAGGATGCAGGTGCTCATCATGGAAAGGAACCTGTCTTGCTTGGTCAAGATATCCTGGCCAAAAAATAATAATTCTGAAATGCTTCCTGGTGCTTCTTTGAACAATATTAAAACACTTCAGCAACCTTTCATACAGAATTAATTAACATGGAAACCAGCCTTCACAATGCAGCAGAGCCCTAAAGTGGTTTCTGGAATTTAATTAGTCTAACCTTCTTTTCTCTACATTGGTACCACTCTATGAGAAGTGCAGATCATTATTAATTCCTTTGGTGTTCACTATAATAACATTAATCATGATGAACTCTTTTGGTAGTAAAGTGTATGTAATATGTAATTCTGTAATAATTTAGCATTAACTTGAAATTAATTTATAAAATACACTATTTGTCACCACACACTGAACATTTAGAATATTCCTCATCATCATTAGTATGAGGATAACTTGCATTAAAAAAATACACTGGCTACAGACTTAGAGATTCATAAATACATTTGGGAAATTGAGTGAGATGCTAGTGATTATTTATTTATCAACTTTTCCTTTAAAAACTCTAGTAGGGTCATTTTAAGAAGTAATAAAAGTTATCTGTTGTGAAAAACAGCAGAATCCTTTGATTCAGCACTCATTGAAACACCTGATTATTTGAAGCAAGAAAATTGTTTCCCAATATCTTTGGTTTCTCTGGAATTTAAAATAAATCCAGAACTTGTGTATCGCGTCTAAATAATGAATTTTGCATCAGAGAACTTCATCTGATCATCAAGGTTCTCTCCCTATTAGGCTAGCCTAAAGGACATTAAATTTTAGCCCATCTCCTTAGACAGGGATTTCTATGATTGCATGAAAAATGCAGCACAATACAATAGATGAGCCCTAGAGCTTGCGAGAAAAAAAAAAAAAGGGGGGAGGAAAATACAAAATTAAAGTGCTTGTCAAGTGACATATCTTCTTGCTACAAATGGCAAAGTGATTAAGTTTAAGATGCTATCAGACACTGAATGTATACAAACATCCTCAGTGAGTGATACTAATGAAAAAACAGTTTTGTCTTTCCACAGATGATTTGTTTTTAATCACTGGACAAAGCAAAATCTCTGTACTAAAAATTCACAAAGGATGCATCTGGACTCATTTTATCTGTCTTATGTATTTCTAAGGTGCCAATCACTATATTATCTAAATGCATTAACAGAGTAGCTGGCTTCTGCTAAATATAAAGAGAGTCTCAAAAAGAATTTAAGATAAAACACTTTCTTACCCAGCCACAGAAAGCCCTTCTCAGTGCTGGGAAAGGCTTCTCATGACAGCTCTGAGGAGCATTCTGGGACAAAGTCTAGACGCAAGGGACTCTTGCACTCCATTTGCAGGGCCCAGAAGCTGATTGGAACATATTTACTGACACAACCTATAGGTATGTATACATTCTGATATTACTTACATTATAGTATTTGGACTATGTTATAGCTGATATAAACTGTGTGTGCCAGTGAAGCAACAGAACATGCAAGCACGCGCTATGAGTGGGAATGAATTTAAGTGCGTGTTTATACACTTGGCTGAATCAGGCCCCTCATCACCTGGGCAGATCTTCAGTGTATTTTATATCAGCATTACCTCAGTAGAGTTGCCTCCCCTTTAAATTGGTTTGAGAAAAGAGCAAGAATTATGTGCCATAAATTTTAGGTGTATTGACATGTCTTTCCCACCTTAAATGAAAAATACTGGGCATGTCTTTTACTTCATGCAATTACTTTTCCATAATACTATATATTGGTTGTGAAAAATGGTTATTTAAACAATTTCTTCTAGCCTAATATTTAAAACTGTATTTTGCTTTTAAAAATTTATTAACTTCATTTACTCAAAAGGAGAATCCACTTTGGAAGAAGTCAAGGATCCTTTGTCTCATCTGTTTCCTGCAATGATTTAATGAGGGATAAAAATAGACAAGAATGATCAGATCTTCTCCTGGTATAAATTGTTAGCTGCAGACCTTGGATCATAAATATCTTCCTCTTTTATATTATTATTAATGATAATTACAAAGGACCCTCTAAGAAGTTACTTCTTAAAGAAGTATCAGCCATGATCTTGTGGTTCAGCGTGCATCAAGCTTTGTACTTAAAATTCAGCTATTTAGTTACATACAGTGAATTCAGTTTATTTCTCCCCAAATCATTATTTTTTGAATACAGATTTTTTAGTAGTGCATATTCATACCCAAATGACTTACACTTAAGAAGTCTTCTCAGGCCTGCTGTTTCAAGTTGGAACTTGTTTGAATTCCATTTGTGTTCAGCATCGGTTGCAATTCAGTGATAATTCACCATGTTCTGAAAACAAAAAACTTATAGCTTGGAAAAATTATATCCTTCTCCTTGTATATTTGATATTAAAATAAGTGTTTTCCTAGTTATACTGAAGAGCTCTTAATCTGCATTTCTCTGTGTGTTTCCTCCATCAGTACTGGAATTTAAGCATCAGAATTGGAGAGGGACAAATTTCAATTAGTGTGGCCCTCATTATGAGAGCTATCAGAGATCTTTTGTGAACAGCCGCAGCTCAGCACTGGCCTAATTCCAGCACTGCTTCTTGTGCTTTTTCTTTTGCTTGGTCTGCTCTTTTCCTTAATCTCATTCCCCATTTTTCCGTGTTCTTTCCTTTATCATTTTCCCCCTCACAATTTGCATCACTTTCTATCCTCTCTCTCCTTCTCTTTCGTCCTGGATCCAGTATCAAGCCTTCAAACCTCTTTTTTTTTTTTTTTTTAACCTCTTTCCTTCTATTTTTCTTTTCTCTTCAAGTTTTCCCCTTTGATGAAGGCCCCTCTAGTTCTATCAATCAGCATTTAAAAAGGAAACTCCATCAAATTTCCTCTCTGTACAAACTGAGACTTCCTTTAAAGAGACCATTTTTTATTGCAACTCAAAAAATGCTCCCACTGATACTACAACTTCACTGAACTCAAGGTCATAAAAAGTAGCTTATATATTTTACCAGCCTAGTGATTTTAAGTGTTTATTCTCAACAGATGTGAGCCTGTATTAAAATTTCCAGCACATGCCAGAAACTACAGGTCTTGTTCCAAACAAATTATTAATCAACCAACTTCATGACACTGTCATTCCAGGAAAAGGATATTTCTAGGTATTATATCAGAGCCCCAGACAAGCAACATTTGAAGCCGTAGTCATAATGCTTTATGTACTCTATAAAAAGCACCTTTCATCCCAAGTGTTCTTTTTTATCCTTATGGAGATATCTTTGAGGTG